AAAAAAAAAAAAAAAAAAAAAAAAAAAAAAAAAAAAAAAAAAAAAACATTCAGATCATGAAGCTTTTAGATTGCCTAACTCCTTCACCTTAAAAATCTATTCCCCCTAAAACGTTAAGAAACGTTTTTTACTCCTTATGTAAACATTCAAAATCTTTTTTTTTTTCCCCCTTTTTTCCAGGCAAATAGATTATGGTAATCGTGTTTGCTCTTTTTCATTTTTCTTTAAGAAGAAACATGTATTTCATTGAATGGAGTTAAAACTCTAAATCACTTAAAGAACTTCAGACCAAGCATAGCAACACATAATCAGATTGCAACAACTTGATAAAGAAAATACTAAAAAACATTGAAGCACAACAAAAGTGAATCAGTATTATACAAAAGTAATCTGCCTATATCAAAATGCGGATTTTGATATATCAAAGTAGTAACCTGGAGGCTGAACTGGAGGATCCGGTGCTAATTGAAACTTTTGGTAATTTCGAAGAATTTCACATATTTCAGCTGGCCGAAGCCACCTATTTTGTGCTTCTTGTAGTATTTGTACCAGATCTGCCAAAATTTTAAAATAGGGACAGATGTTCAAAACTAAAAAATTAAAAGGCCCTTGCCACAGTCAAAGGAAGATAAAATTACTAATTTTTCTAATAAGAATACAAAAATCCCAAGCATCTGCGGACGTTTTGACTCAGTTAAGTTTCATTGTTCTACTTGGATTTCTATTCATGAAGCCTTTTGTATTTATACTTTCTTCATAATTAACAACAATTCAAGAGGTTTCTTCTCAACAAACTCCAACAAAGAGTACTAGATTACGAACATAACTCCTCGCTACTTAAAACACGAAAATACAAACAGAATATCGAACTCTCGTNAATAACTCCAAAAAAAAAAAAAAAAAAAAAAGTCACTCAATTGTTTAAGAAACTTCAAACGAAATGCCCAAATCCTTCATATTTTGATTAAAATAATTACAGAGACTAAGAAATGCATGCATGCAGCAAATAATAAAAAAAAAATGGCAGTAACACCAACACAATGAACCAGTGGCTCACTTTTTCTAAGTAATGGGGAAGAGGACCGAAACAATCTTCTTATTTTATGATCTTATTGGAAGATGGTTCTATTTCTCAATCTTTCTGACTGCATCGTTGTGGTAAAGGTCGTAATGCCAGAGGAATCATTACTGCAGGGCATAGAGGGGGAGGTCATAAGTGGAGTTGATTTACACACGCATAAAAATTTCGGACAAACTAAAATTTGTTCTTGAATCAATCTTCTCAGTCTTTATTGTCTTGGGGCTCTTGGCTTGTAGATTCCACTGTTAAAAAAAAAATCGTAACATTTCCATTATGTGAGCCCGCTTAGTGTGCGACTCGTGGGTTTTTTTAAGGTTAGGATTAAAACCAAAAAGAAAGATCAGCCCATTCGAAAAAGCAATAGCAGCAAGTCCAAGTAAATAAAATACGAAAAAAATACGTAATTTTTTTACAGAAAATTCAGAAATCAACAGTGAAAGATCATTATCAAGAAGCTGGGATCACCCATATAACAACGAGAATGAAGCCAAGACGACGCCTAAATGATGAGCTGCTCTCAGACATTTAAAACACAGTTTCTCAAACACGTTTTGATTAAAAATACTCGGAAAGATAAGCATGCAGCAAAGAATCAAACACAATGCAGAAAATTCAGATGTAAAACAAATAGATAAACAGTAAAAGATCATCAACAAGAAGCTGGCATCGCCAATACAACAACAAAAACGAAGCGAAAACCGTACCTAAATGCTGAATGGGAACATATCTCCTGTTCTCAGCCATATAACGCACAACTTCTCATCAGCATCAATCAACAGTTGGAATCAAAATTTCCGATACGAACCTGCACAGAAAAAAAAAACAAAAAAAACAAGAACCACAACCACAAACACTGAGATATTAATAGAATGCATGAAAAAAGGTGGTGAAGGAAGAAGGGAAGAAGGTTTGACCCTAAGAAACGCAATGGTTCTGCGATGGGATTGAGCTGGATGGCAAGGGGAGGATGCGGAATGGGAGAAAAACGAAAATGAAGAAGAAGAAGAAGAAGAAGAAAGATGGGATGCGTGAAAGAGACGGTGAATTGCAGTCAACGAGTCTGTTATTTGCATTCACACGAAGAGAATGGGTTGTCGAAAATTGGAATTTTCGATTCAAGTGGAATTTGTGATGATCGAGATCATACAATGAAAACGNTTCTTAACGACAATTTTTTTTTTTTTTTTTTTTTTTTTTTTTTTTTTGCGTAAAATTTCTCCTTGGAAATTAAATTATCGAATTCATCTCTAGACTCTCAAATCTCAATTTCATAAGATTAAAATTTTAAATTATAAAAATATTACAATTTCTACTTACTCCTCAAACTTCATAAATTCCACCCTTTTTATTTATATTTTATCGATTTCATATCTATATATGAAAGAGAGAATTTTGTTGGATAATATTTAGAATAAGAACATGTTGAAGGTTAAAATTACTACATTTATCAAATTCATGACTAAATTACAAATAATTGAATTTGTGGCTAATTTAAATTCACATGTATTCCAAATTAAAATTGAAAAAAAAAAAATCTCAAATACATAATTTTTTTAACAAGGTTATTTGAACTTGACTTTGCCAAAATGGGAGATATTTTTTTTTAATTGAATATTTAAGTTTTTATTTTTAATTATTTTAATATAAAATGCTTGGTCCTAAAAGTGGAGAAAAAAATGCATTGCAATCTTTTCGGTAAAAAAATGGTGGAAGAACATCAACTTCTTTAAAATCCAACCAAATTTTTTTAAAAACTAAAGAAAAAAAATAGGTTTTAACTTTTTTTAAAAAAATTTGACTAATAATTTAAATGATCATATAAACTTAAAACTATGATTAAAATATTGAGAGAAAAAGATACAAAATTTTAAATGAGAGTTTAGATTTTTAATTTTTTTTAGTTTTGAAAGTTAAGCTTATACATTTCGTTTTAAAAAAAAAAAACTCAACAAAATTTTACATTTGATAATGATTTCACTTTTAATTTTGTCTTTAAATTATAAAAATAATAACAAGTCTTCTTCTTTTTTTTTTTTTTTTTTTTCCAAAACTTGACTTAATTTTTTAAAACATGGATAGAAAATAGACAACAATAATAAAAAAAAAAAAAAAAAAAAAAAAAAAAAAGAAATTAAATGGAAGTAGTAATGTTTATACGTTTGGTTTAAAAAACTAAAAACAAAAAATCAATTATGAAGGATATTGAGTTCATAAAAAAACTTGTTTTTATTTTCAAATTTTGTAAAAATTAAAGTGCTTCTTCAATAAATGTGAAAATTATACTTGTAAAAAATTGGGATAAAAGAACCATAAATTTAAAAAACATGAAACTAAAAAAAAGAAACTATGAATAAACAAGACCCAAGTAATTTCATGAACTAGCAAGTAGATTCATGTGTAACTCCAATTATCCAAAATTAATTAACTACTGCTCATGTTTACAAATTGTACTAAATATTACAAACCGTAAATTTAAGTACTAATACAAGTTAAATAGTCAATCGAGCATACCTAAATTGATTAAGGCATATGACCTCAATCCAAATCTCTCTTCAATGGATTAAACATCGGACCTTAATTCAAATTTCTCTACCCACTTGTTAAAAATGACCAGCATAGCTCAACTAATTAAAGCACCCAAAAATCAAGTAAACACAATCCAAGATATAAATCCATGTGTCGCATTGAACTCTATCTAAAATGTGATCAAATGAAATACAAAGTCATGAGAATGTGAAGGTTGGCGTCAAAGATGAGCTATTGATCAAATGCAGTAAGAAAAGTGATGCTTCAATTACTATCATGTTAACAGAACGAAAATACTGCAACAAACTCCTACATTTTAGTTAAAAGGAAAACACTGGCCTTTTATCAGGTCCTCCCCTCACTCAACAGCAAGATCCTGCTTTTGGTCCGGCTTCAAAGAACTATCCTGTGAGTGTGAAGAAGAAAATCGAATCCAAACGATCACAGCTAAAACGAAAACTAACATCGAAGACAAAAATTTATGCATCTTCCAACAGTAGTGGGGGGAGGGTGTTCTTTTCTAGCTTTATTAGAAACAGCTGACTGAAAGGGGAATGCTAACCTTAGTACAGATGTATATATAGTGGACATCAGGATTCTGCCCGAGCACGGTATCGAGTACCCTTACGTCGTTATCACATGGAACAGGTTTCAACAGGTCCCATTTTGGAGGGTCAGTTCTTTTCTCTGAAATAAGTTTCTCTGCAAGATGTCAATAAGAGATGAGGATGACATCAGAGGAAACTATTACAGGTGTTTGTAAAGCGATTGAAGTCTTTCTTTCTCTCTAAGCATCTGCTAAGGAGGGAAAAGAACTGATGCTTCCACAAGGTCTACATAGTTTATAAATGTAAACTAAGCAGCACAAGCTACTCACCAAAGCTGCGCATACGAGTTCCTTGGATCGTAAAAACGATCTTTTTTTTGAAATATGGAACAAATAGATCACGTATCATAACAAGTTTGGATGCCTAAAAAATTTAGGTATAAATATTTTGACCATAAAACCTCCTGCAAAAAGTAAGGACATTGTGTGGAACAGAAACAACATAAGGGGCATAGGCTTCGAATATGCCCGTGCAGCTGTCGTTGAACTCCAAAATGAAATAAATAGACTAAAAATGCAGATTGTAGTGACTTAAAAGCACTAAATAACTTAAATTTAGTTTTGACCGAACCTATGACATGAAGCTTTATCAATGAGAAAGTACGTCTCAGTAGACTTAGTCGATACGAAGGAGCTCCATATGTAACCTGGAGATTCGAAGCAAAACACAATGATTAATCCTTGCATATAACATTAACAAACAAATTAAAGGAAACAGGGAAGAGTAATAACTACAGAATTTACCAAAATATACACTCCATTCTCCTTGAGTACCCTATATTTTGTCATCAACTGCTTCAATATGTAGTGAACAGATCAAGAAAGAAAATTTATACATGAAAATGAAGAACTGAAAGATATCATATAGTCCAATGTTGCGGTTTACCTCCAAACTTCATCAAGCATCTTAGTTGCATTTTGTCGCGAATTATTTCCGCACTAAAATTAAAAGTTGTCCATAAGCTATTAATGCAGAAAAGATAAACATATTAAAACACTCAACACTCACCAATAGAGAGTCTAGGGTCCCTGGAAACATCACATAGAAACAATCAAAATGTTGAGGAGAGAAAATTGGAAAACAACACACTCGTGCACACACAATAGTAAAGCAAGACAACAATGTACGGATCATATACAGGGAGTACTACACCTTTGTCAAGAACAGTGTCGAAGGAACATGTTTCAAATGCACTCATATCACGAACGTCCATTTTCACATCTGTTAGATTAAAATGAACATAAAGGAATACTTCAATCACGAATTAAATTTCAAAATTTACATCATGTACTTTATAATTTAGTATAAAATGATGTATAGATAATATAATTCAACATCATATAGAAACAGAATGTAGTTCGAATATTTCTTTGTAGGGGAGTACAGAGGGAAAGAACTCGGGGCATTTGGCTCACAAATTAAGTTCGTATAGGTTGAGTATATGAATCAAACTTACGTAAACTCACACACCAAACGCTGAAGTATACAAGTAAAGAATAAATTACCGCAGCTCATTCTTTCCACAATCTAGATACAAACTAGGTCTCCTAATTCCAAACTACGCTAACCAGGCTCCATAAAACCATAAGCGAAATATCCTCTCTCTCTCAAAACACGAAAAACGATAAAACGGAAACTAAACAAAAATGAAGCAAGAAGCGTACATTTCAGCTGCGGACGATTACAGTACTTCTTCTGCATTGCTTCGATCACAACAGAGGATATATCAACATTGATCACATCCTCATAGCCATCATCGACCATGCCTTCGCTAAATGCTGCAACAAAAACCACAAGTAATCCTAACAAACGCCTCTTTCATACAAAACATAGTCGAAAAGTAACAGATCTGGTACAGAAGAATCAATCCAAAAAAGGCGGACATGGAGAAGGAGAATGAGAATGAAAAGAAACCTGAGTTGCCGCATCCAACGGCGAGGATGCGATGATGGCGAGAGACATAGAGATTGATCAGTGGCGCTAAGGAGTGATACTTCTGGTACCAATCAAAGGGGCCAGATTCGCTGGAATAGCGATTGTCCCAATACGAGGGCTCGCCGTAGGCCTGGGTAGAAGTCTCCGACGCCATGATCGACGATTCTGCTCCTCACTCTGGCGTTTTATCCTCTTCTTTGAAAATTTGATTTGGGATTTTTCAAATCTGTTTATTCTGTTGGCGTTGTTTTATACGCTCCAAATCTTGGAAGGTACTGGAATGGGAGTGGTTTTCTTGCAGAAGGTTTGTCTTAGCTTCGAACAAAAGCCCAGGGGTGTTTCTGTCATTTTCCAAACAATCCTATCTCAAATGTGCTTTCATATGAGCAGGAAATTAACCCTTATTAGCGTAATTACCTTTTTGCCCCTACTTCGATACATAAACAAAAATATTGTAATATTTTGAATTCCATTTTTTATCCTACTATTCGAGTCATTTAAGGGTTTGATTCATATTTAACCATCGATAATCGATAATGAAATGATTTAATATTTAATAATATTTGTACCTGTTCCAACACCGTCATCATCTTCTATAGCCATTGTTTCCCGCATCATTCAAAATGAAGGAGAAAATTCTCTTCATTCCAAATTCGTGGGACTCTTTATTTTGTTCGTTTAAAAAATGGACTAATGTGGATTGATATCTCTTCTTTTTACCGTAAATCCTCTCTCACCAATATCATGTTTTGATCCATCTCTATTGTCCTTGTGATTTCATTTTTCGACTTTCGACTTTCGCATCGCTTCAACCCTTCATCATCAATGATATATATCAATAGCCAAAAGGATCGAATCATTGAATGATCTCCAACGTTCTTGGTGCGAGCCAATCCTCATGGTTTTTCACTTAATATTCCTCCAAACGATTCCACCAAAGAAGCTCACAAATCCTTGACTACAAGACTGGGCGTTTCTATTTCTCCGATGGTGTAGAAATTTTTTTCTTGTTACGAGCCATGTTAACCATATCGTAGGAGAACCAAAACGTTATCAAAGAGGTAATTATCGAAAGATTCTCTGCACTAAAAGATTACAAATAACACAACAAGCAACGGACAGAAATAATTAAAATCATTCAACAAAGTTCAAAAACCTGTAATTTTTTTTTTATGGCTTCAACATTTTCAAGTTAGCTACAAATTGTGAGTTAAATAACAACAATGCACCCTAAGTTACGTGGTCTTTCAAGCCCCAATTCTCACACAATAGTCATGTGAAAGCATCAACTCAAAAAACTAGGCATAAAATAACCCACCAGAAATTCAATATGAATAAAAGAAGGTATCTGTGCACTAAGAACAGCTCCAATTCATGTCGAATAATCTGAAGATGACAAACAATTTGACCTTCACAAAACCTGGAAAGAGTTTCAAGTCTGTTTGTTGATAAGATTATAAGCAAAGATCTCAATATTTTCATATTTCCAGATTCCACATTTTTCAATCTCGAAACCTGGAAATCATATTCAAAGACGGGCAATCTCGAAGGATTTAAGCAAAAGAGTGGATCATTCAACTTAATTCTCATCCATAATCCGTTTCTCCTATCAGCAAATTCATCTCAGTAAAACTCCATGATCCACTATTTTACAAAATTGTTCAAAACAAACCCACCGTGTAGTTTTCGTTTCGGATGGGAGCCGGGGCAGAGCGCCAATACTCAAAGGTTGATAAGAATTAAGAAATAAGACCTAAATATGAAATTGCTTGCCTGGTACCTAACAATCTGGTTCTTGCAATTACATAATGCAGTTATTTCTTCTTTCTTCCACCCTTGCCTTTTGAAGGTCCTGCAGTTGATGATGATGCAGGCTCCTGCTTCTTTATCCTCCCAGGATGTCTAGGAACAAGTTCGGCTATACGAAGCATCAGTTGTTTTCCTGCAATATAGCCACATACCTCATATGTAAAATTGTAATCATTAGGGTATTCCCATTGACAATAAGAGCTCAAAAGGGGGAATAAGATACTTTTAGCTTAAATTATGGGTTTTGTCCCAAGTTTCTAAACCCTAAAATGTGTCTAATAATTTTATGAACTTTTAACATGAATTTCAATTTTGTATCTAATAGAAATAAATTAATAGATCTATATGATATAAAATTAAGTTTCATTTTGAATATGACCCTGAATTTTGAATTTTGTGTATGATAGATTCTAGGAAATGTCTAGTAAGTCATTAACATTAAAAATTTAGGGAACCTATTTGACACAAAATTAAAAAATTAAGGACCTATTGTACATGAAATTGAAAGTTTAGAAACCTACTCGATACAAAATAGAAAGTTTAATGATCTATTAAAGTTCAAGACCTAATAGCGCTGCTTTGTTACCACTTTGGATTTGAAATGAGCTTCAAACAGAATTCTCAAATTGATTCTATGCTTCCTACAAGACATAGGTGTTTCAATCAAACTGGAGGGCAAGTTCTCGTTTTCATAAACGTGTAGAATGTCGAAAGAAATTATTTAGAAGCAGTATTTTTCTTTAATTAATAAGTATATCTTTGATTCATAGCTTATTATAACTTTGTTAATGAAAAACAGATAACTATTTCAATATTAATCGGAAACAGACAGCTATTTTTTTTTCCAAGGGATAAAACGGGTCCAAAGAGACAAGTACAAGTCTTACTGGAAGGAATAGCTGGATTTGACAGAGTTCCATCCTCCTTCTTCAGCAGAACCCGCACTCTCCCTCGTTGCATGAAATCACGAGGATAAGCTTTATCAATCTGCAGGAATGCTCTGAACATGAATTAACGTATTCTATCAATGATCATAGGCTCATATAAACTCAACGCAGGATGCAGCTAACTTCAATCCAAACAAACAGCAGGGAGAGCAAAAATTAATAGGAAGGGAAGATTTAATCATTGACAGATCATTGCCAGAAAACCTCAATAGCAAAGGGCAGTTTGAGATGACTGCAGCAATCACCAATCTCAGCACACGTTGGATTCTCACATGCTTTGCTAACACCAATACGTCTTCCTTCAGCTATTGTCTTCTTTGAATTAATATAGATGGGATACAAAACTACCCATCTCTTTATGTTGGGAATTTCTCCATCCATGTTCCAACCAAATTCCTATAATAGCACATAAAAAATTTCTATCATAATGCATACTCAATCAGAATAGGGCAAAACAAAATATATTATTCAGACATTAGTACGAATGTTCCCTCGACAAGAAACTGTTCAATTCAATTCATACAGTCTCAAATTGGGACATTATGAATTGAAAACTTGTGTGACATTTCAAGTTTTGAGCCTTAAATACCAGAAATATTGGGTCAAAATTCAGATTCAGCTGCAGTATAATTGAGGTAGGTGCTCATAAATTGAGCTAGAAAGCAGAAACTCGTGTAAAAAGAGAAAATAATATGCGACCCAGTATCATTAACCCAAATTTGTTATTAATTTTTTTATAAATGAAAATGTCTTTTACATTTTATTTAATAATTTATGTTTTTGGTAAGAAACAAAACTTATAAAAGTCTTTTCCACTTATTATATAATTACTCATGCAAATATCCATTTTAATTTCAAGTCCAACCATAAACTTTTTAGATTCTTTTACTTTCCAACAATTTAAAGAATGGAAACCTAGGACACCTTAATGTTCTACAATTTTAGGCCATTAAATAACCACCACCTAAAACAATAAAATCGAAAATTTAACACCACACTATCCAATAATAACAGCAATTTTTTGTTAATGCTTTTCCATATGCTATACATAAACATGTTCAAACAGCACATCTATGGAAAATAAAGGGGAACAAAAGATCGAGAAAATGCAATGTTGAGACAAAGTTCAAATAAACAAACCGTCTAATTCCCCCACATTTGCAAATACATTGCAAAGCATGATGAAAGAAAATCAACACTTCAAGTAAATTTATCAATAATCCATTTCATTCAATAAATTCTAGTTCCAAACAAGGATATTCTAAAATTTGCCGAAAGAAAATGAAGTGAAGTTTGAATTTGATTTTAAGTTCCTAATATTTGATTAAATTTGACCAGATTTTCTTTGTCTGATCCGCCGTTTGAAGATTCATACTGCTAAAGAAGTATAACATTCTAGTAATCAGAAAGCACCTAATTGAACAGGATTTCAACTACTTAACAAATTCCTAGCTGGATAAAGCTCATTTATCTGATCTTTGCAATCAAAATGACAAAAAAGTGAATAAATTCCTCATATGCTATGCCAATTACTGCCAATGAGCTTCAGTAGAAGAAGAGAGAAACAATCCCAAAGAAGATGTAAACATCCTAAAACACAAGATCGTATGAAACAAGTTACAAATCCACTAAACCAAGAATCAACTAAATATGATTACCAAATTGAGAAGCTAAAAGGAGATCTGATTTTCTGTTCCAGCCGAACCGCGACAATGGGCGAGATTGAGCGAAACAGGAAAAAAATAGAGAATCGGAAAATGGGGCGACGCCGAAGACAGAAGGGATTTTTTTTTTCACCACCGAAGAAAACCAAAGCTTTCGTGAAAATTTACAAAAATGCCACTAAAATTTTTCTACGAGAAATTACAGAAATGCCACTACCTTGATTTTTTTTAATAAAAAAAAAAAACTAAATTAATTACCTCTAAATTTTGCCATTTAATTAAAAAATATATATTCTTTTCTTCTAAAAATTTCAAAATTGTGATTAACCTTTAATAAAATGTTTAAAAAATACATAAATTTTAAATGCTTTGAAATGGGTCTCCATGATTTATTTCAATTACAATATTTTAAATACTTTTGAATAATTTCATAAATATAATAATAATATAGGAATTATTTGGGAGAATAATTTTTTTTATTATTTTTTATTATTTTTTACAAAAAAGAAATTTCAAGTTTTTTCTTTTTGTAATTTAGCTTAATTTTTCTTTCGCTCTCTTTTGGGTCTTCTCTCTCGGCTCTTCATTGCGTTCGATTTTTCTCTCTAGCTCAGTTTCTCTCCATTTCAATCTCCCTCGAGGTTTGTTCTCAATTTCTGCCTTTTGAACTTGGATGCCTTGTTTTCCATATCGTGTTTATTGTAGTTTTTGCCGCCCGTGGTAGTTTTTTACTCTACTCTAATTGCTTCTCCAAGATCGAGTGATTTAACGAGTTGTTTTTCTTTCTAAATTTATCTGAAAATTCATTCTCTCCGTTGTTTTATTTGAATTTTTGTTGATTTCATGGAGATGCGACTCTCTTAGCATAGCATGATTCTGCAATATCATTAAGATGGAGCTCACTGAATATGATGTACTCTTAGTTTGCCATTAATCGCATGCTAAGTTGTGGAAGTGAATGTTCTTATGGGGTATCTATTCAAGAAGAAAATGAAATTTTATGGTTGAACTTCATTAGTGCCGTCCTTTGTTGCGGAAGGAACAAGAGGAACAAGGGAAAAAATTGTGGGCATATATCTCTTAATTAAAAAAAAAAAAAAAAAATGTTGTGGAAGTGAATTTTGGGAGATATTTGCATTGCAACTCTGCCAAAGTAATGAAAATGTTAGATTATTCAAAATGTCCATGAACTTTGAGGTTAGTTTCTGTTAAACGAACACGACTCTCCACAATGGCATGATATTGTCCACTTTGAGCATAAGCTCTCGTGGCTTTGCTTTGGACTTCCCCAAAAAGCCTCAAACCAATGGAGATATTATTCCTTGATTATAAACCCATGATCATCCCTAAATTAGCCGAGGTGGGACTTTCATCTAACCGTTTCAATTGTACTGTTATTGTTTAAAAGTTTGTCTTATGCCCTCAACCTTTAAAATTGATTCAAATATGCCCATAACCAATTTTATCATTAAAACAAGTAATGGAAACTGATATAGTTGTTGAGTTATATATGGAGCAGTGGTGGGCATGGTTTTTAAAAAATGAACAGAAAATGTGGCAAGTATCAGTAATGATACGAACACCCTAGTGAATTGGTCTAAGAACCCTTTGACTATGCAGATCCCTAACAAACAAACACCAAAATCTATCTACAAACGTTCTAGGACTAAAATACATTCCATAAAGTAAGAACAAGAAGAAAATAAGGAAAGTTGACTGGGTCAAAATGGTGTACATGTGGCAGGGCTGAGATGTGTTTGGCAACTGGTGTTGGCATGCTTGAGGGTGCACATTGGGTATAGGTGCTGGTGAGGTAGGCAATCACTGGAGCTGGCATGCACGTGGGGGCAGCAACTAGTATGTAAGCATTGTGCACGAGGCACAGGCATCAAAAGTTGCATGTAGGTGTCATTAGTCATATACAAGCGAGTGCACTCATGGGTTGTCTTTGTTCCTTGATGGGTGGATGCACATGCAAGGTTGTGCATTCATCGACATCTTGTGAGGTTAGCGTTGGCACTGAGAGATTATCAATAAGGTGATGCACACTTGGTCGGCAACTTGTGAAGTTCTTTGGGTGACGTGGGAAACCTCTATGAGGTTAGTAGTAAGTGTTGACGTGCGCGACATGGTCAAGGCCTATGCTTAATGGTGTGTTAGCCATGACTTGACACCTCCTTGAGAGGTTATTTTGGTTTTGGCCTCTCCTCCATGCTTAGCGTAACTAGTCCCATTGGTTTAATGCTTGACATGAGCCCATCAGGTAACCACTAAGCAATCGTTGATGTGGGAGGGTTGGGTAAAAGAAACAACATCATGACTTTAAAAGTGATCGTCTAGTGGTTATTGGTGCTTGCCACATCTGCCGTTCATTTTTTAAGACTCTTGTTTTCCGCTACTCCACTTTTCAGCTCAAAAACTGTCATTTTTGTACTACGATCATTTTGAGTCATTTAACCTAATGATAATTATTTGTTTCCGTGGTTGGATTTGCATTTGCCTACTCGTGTCTTAACTGCTTTGTAATCCACTTGGTGATTATGTGTTCAACATTGCAATGTGCTGAAACTCTCATATTCTTGAACCTTGTTAGAAACTTCGCAGTTACATGTCCTATAAGTATATAGTTTATATCTCCAATAACTTCGTAAGCAATTTTTCTCCAAAAAAGTGATGTAAGACTAATATTGTAGTATTTTAGTTTCTTTGTTTAGGTTCCTAAAATGTTATATCAAGCTCAAATTTCAAAAGAAGAACAGACACTTGCTAGTCCATCAAGTAGCAACAATGATGACCACCACCTTGATGGTGGTGGTATTCAGGTTACTTGCTTCAGTGAAGCCATAAACGATGTCCCCATCCATTTTCAGATAATACGTCTCCCTAAGCAGGTTTTCCATGGCTTTTCCAACATTCCTTTGGATTTTTCCATTTGAGTTACATTTTCAGTACAGCCCAATTGTTCGGAATCAGTGTGTTAAATATTCCAACGCATAGTTTCTTGATGTTTGTTTCTGTCATATTTGTTTTGTTTTTATAATTTTATTTTAAATATGTAGATATATGCATGGATTGGTTGCAATTCTGCAAAATTTGGGAATTTGTATGCAGCTGCCCCCACACGGCCTGTAAGTTGTTCTTTATTTTGGTACGAACGACATATAAGTGAAGCTCTTCCCCCCTTTTTAGAATTTTTCAAATCTTGCCATATACTTGTAAATTTTAGCTACTGAATCGAATTGGCTAATAATCCTGATCTCATAGTCATTGCTATTTTGCAACTGAATTTTTGCAGAACAATATGGTGAGCGTTACTTCCTTACTTGGAGGTTCATCTGATAATACAGGATCTAGCATGGCTCGTCGGTTAGGTAATACGTGAATCTAGTGTTGACCTCTGAATACTTAAGATGTCATGTCGTCTCTTAGTCGTTCTGATACATTTGTTTCTCTTTTCTTAGTGCTAAAGACCGGTCTAAATATCATGTTGGCTAGCAATATTCCAAAAAATAGCCCCATTATTGAGGTTTGATGACGCTCCTCTTCCTCCCTGTTTTTCTAATAGATGAATAATGCATGGGATGATTGGTCTATGAAAGAACTATGCTAGAAGTATTCAAATTTGGTTACCCCTGGTATGTTGCCTTTGTTATCTCCAAAGTGAAAAATTTAGTTTTGTAAACAAAAAACAACAATAAAACTAAAACCGTGCTCGATAACGATTTCGTATTTAGTTTTTTGCTTTTGAAATTTATGTTGTTTTCTCTCGAAAAAAACAAAAATTTAAAAACTACTTTTTTCACTTTTTAGAAAACTAAAAACTAAATAGGTTCATGCTTTCAAGTTTTAGATTCCTACTTAGCTGATATTTTTGTTTCGATCATTTTAGGTAGCTGCAGAAAAAATGTTAGTGCAAAAGCTGGTCTCTTTAGGGCTCATTAGGCCTAAATCAGAAGGGCCATCTACATAATAATTGGTACTCCTGTTTAGTCTTCTTTGCAAGAACCGGTCGTGAAAGACGTCTAGTGTTCTAAGTTATTAAGTTTTCGACCTTGTAAGACTTTCGAGGAGGAGGAGGACGACGCCCCCAAACATACCGAACCCTTACCATCAAGGTACTTGATGGGGCTCTCTTTTACTTCATCTTTCTTAGATATCGATCAAGAACATCATTCATGTTTCATGTTTCGTGTTTCGTGTTTTGATTCGTTTTTATTGAACTTCCTCGTTTATTTTAACTTTATTGTTCTTGGGCTGAATTTGGAATTAAATTTGAATGATCATAGTATTTTATCAAGTTTATGCAACATAAAATTTCTCAACTATTTTATAAAATTTCATTCATTGGACTCATTGATTTATAAGGTCAAACGTTAAATACCAACCAATATCTGTCACGTTGAATTTTAAGGTAAGATAATTATTTTTTAATTTTCGCGAATGATATGAGAATGAAAATAACCTATACACTACTTTAATAGGTAACATGTACCAAATTAGGTCCATGTTTTAAATACCATTTATTTCAATAACTCTCATGTGGAATTTTGGGGTAAGGTCGTTATATCATTTATGACCAATTATATTTAGATCACAGGTGAGAGGATTCAAATATTTACCTCGATCAAACTCGCGTCTTACCAAATTGAGATATAAAAAAATAAACGCCATTTAACTTTTTTAAAGTAAAAATGGTTAATTTCATTTATTATTGATTTGGGATCCATCTTAATTCCAAAAAGTTGATTTATTAAATTTATATTATTTAATTTAAACTAATTACAATTAAATTATTTTTCATTTCTACTCGAATGAATTAAAAAGTTATACATCATAATTATTTTAAATAAATTAATGGAAGCTTAACAAGGACTAAAAGTGAGCATTACTAGTAAATTTCATGGGAAAAGTATAAAATCTAAGAAGTTTCGGGCCCTAATTGAAAAGTAAAAAAAATATATTGTATTTGAAAAAGATTGAAAAATAGGGACGAAAGTTAAATTATAGTAAAATGCAGGACTAAAAGAACAATTTCCGTATTTAAAAGGTCCATTTTGGCAAAAAGAAAGAAGAAGACGAAAAAGAACCCTTAAAACAAGCGTCCCGTTCCGTGAAAAGGATTTGGAAGCATAACAGTGTGTATGGTGTTCTGTTCTGTATCTTCGAAATCCAGAAGCCATTAATGCACTTTTCACAGCGTACGGATCCGTCAGTTCTTCACACCAGACGCCATTAACTCTCTCTCTCCTTTCTGGTCTTCCATTTTTGTACTGAGACCCCTTTGATTTCTCGCAAATTTCCTCACTGCATCGCCTTCTTTCTAACCGCCGAGTAGGGTTTACCGCTACTATTGTGCGTTTTTCTTTCTTTAGATTTCCGCGTACGGTTCGATCCATTGGTTTTGGTGAGTTTATTTTTCTTTCATCGCGTTTTGATGTGTGGTGCGTTTCTTGGCGTCCTGCGGTGTGCATTTGAATTTCTGTCACTTGTTTTTGCTGCATTCTTTCAGATCTACTCGAATTTGGGTTTTATTTGTGTTTCCCGCTTGAATCACTTTTGTATCACGTATGAGTTATGGCCAAACTTTGGTTCTTGTTCATGATTCGTACTCGTAGTCTTGGTTGATTGATGATTTTGTCAAATCGTGTTGCTTCCTAACTCTCAGTGCGTTTTCGATGGTTACAATGTAATGCATCTGGGGTTTTCTTGTTGGGAGAGATAATTTGGTTATTCTTTTCTTTGACTACGGGCTTTCTTTTCAGATGCTGTCCTGCATGGATATACAGTACAGTGGACATTGAACCTGTCGGTTTAACCCATAAACCCTATTGTATAGCCTAGATAGAAGATGCCTCTATCTTCAGATCATAGACATAGGTGGTAAAGATAGTTTTAGATAAGAACTCGCCTGCCAGATCAGCCGGCGAAGGTTTTCATTCGCCAAAATGATCAACAGACCACTTGTGCTGACTTACTTGTATCTTTTCATCTACATTTTGCTATCATCTGGAGTTATTTTGTACAACAAGGTATTTCGACATCTTTTTTTCTTTACTGATTAGATTTAATTTTGTTCCAGTTTCCTCTATCTCGTTTCTGTTACTCTGGTACAAGTAGTAATCAGTAACTTAACAATTTCACTATCTGAATTTTAAGTGTACCATACTTTCTGCTCAGTTGTTGGCTTTCAGCCACTACTTAATTCTCATATAATGCTTATTTCTATTTGCTATTCTGATATTGCAGTGGGTGCTCTCCCCAAAATACTTCAATTTTCCTTTGCCTATTACACTTACAATGATTCATATGGGGTTTTCTGGTGCTGTTGCATTCTTTCTTGTCCGTGTGTTCAAGGTATGGTTTTACCTGAACTCAGTATATGAGTTTTAGGGACTTTATTCAATTCTCTGGTTGTTCTTTGTCAATTTGATTCCCTTGGTAAAGAGAAGGCTGTTAAATTGGGTTTTAGTAACTGGCACTTTTGTCTTCCTTAGAGGTAGCCTTTTTTTAGTATTTGCAGAATAAAGTATTAGAAAGTTCTACACAATTTTCAGTCTGTGCCGACGAGTAGTTGTTACCAGCAGGCAGCAATGCTTCAATATAAAGATATTGTGTGTTTTGGATAGCCCACTTCATCCTATTTCCCTCGCTCATGTAATCTTTTCTTTTCCAAATTTTGGTGGCTAGAGTAATTAATATTGATTCCCTATCCGCAGGTTGTATCTCCAGTCAAAATGACTTTTGAAGTGTAAGTGCTCTGAGAAATGAAAAACTGCAGTATAATTGATTTTTGCAGAATATTTTGTGTGCAATATTATCTGTTTTTAATGTATAATCTTTTTCTTGTTGGACAGATATGCAACGTGTGTCATCCCAATTAGCGCATTTTTTGCATCAAGTCTTTGGTAAGTAAAGTTGTAAAGCTAGTTCTCTTGTAATAGTACTTGAAAGAGTTCTCATTTAGGAGAGATGGGTATCGTTTTTAGGTTTTGTAAATGAATTTTATCTGATACAATGGTTTCATGAATTATAATGTTCTAATTGTGATAGCTAACAATGTTGGAATTTTTTATTTATTATTTCTAGCTCAAGAAAACTTGTTCACTTCTATCACGATTAAGCATTTTCTTGTTTCTTTCATTAGATAAGCTAGCATAATTATAAGGTTTTATGCATATGTTACTTACTGGCATTAATATGTAAAGGTAATAAAAAATGTAATGATTTCATACTGTTTGAGGTGTGCATTATGTGTCATGTTCACAATGGTTTCAGTATTACTGACTATTGATATTCCAGGTTTGGCAACACTGCCTACTTACACATATCTGTGGCCTTCATTCAGATGCTTAAGGCTTTAAGTATGGAGGCTTAACTTTATCTTTTTTCTTAATTCCAGAATGAGTCTCCTTATAAATGTAAAATAATTAGATTTAAATTTGATATTTCAGTGCCAGTAGCCACATTTTTAATGGCTGGTGTGTGTGGCACCGACAAGTTAAGGTGTGATGTTTTCTGCAACATGTTGCTGATCAGTGTTGGGGTTGTCATTTCCTCATATGGAGAGATCCATTTTAATGTAGTAGGTACGGTTTACCAGGTCACGGGTATCTTTGCAGAAGCTCTCAGGCTAGTCTTGACGCAGGTCCTTCTACAAAAGAAGGGCTTGACTCTAAATCCTATCACCAGCTTATATTACATTGCTCCATGCAGGTAGAGTGTAGTTTGATGCTTCTTGAATGGATGTAGGTGTGTCATTGTCAATGGATTCTTAAGATTGTGGTGTGATCACAAGTAGTAATAATATTTCATTGGAAAACAATATAAATGTGCAAAAGCTAGATTCTAATTTAATGCTGGTCAATTGATTTGGCTGCTCACATTTTGTGCTTGATACATGCAGTTTTGTTTTCCTCTTTGTTCCTTGGTACTTGTTGGAGAAGCCAGAAATGCAAGTTACTCAAATTCAGTTCAACTTCTGGATCTTTTTTTCCAATGCACTGTGTGCCTTGGCATTGAACTTCTCTATTTTCTTAGTAATTGGAAGAACTGGAGCAGTTACTATTCGAGTTGCTGGTGTTCTCAAGGACTGGATACTAATAGCCCTCTCGACTGTTATATTTCCTGAATCTACAATAACTGCCTTGAATATCACTGGCTATGCAATTGGTAATCCTTGTCAAATGGAGGAGTTTTCATATTATGTCTTACTAATTTAACGTGATCTTCAATTTACCAATCTTTCTCTCAATGCAGCATTGTGTGGCGTCCTCATGTATAATTACTTAAAGGTCAAGGATGTTCGTGCATCTCAATTGTCTTCTGAAAGCATTCCAGACAGAATCATAAAGGTTGGGGCTCTCAGATATTTATATCTTATGGCAGTTTTTATAATTTATATTTGTCCCTTCTCCACTTGATGCAATGTTCCATAGGTTTCATGGTTTTATGTGGTACTAAAAGTGACAATCTTTTTAAGTGGGAAACGAATAAATAGAAATTATGTTAGGAGAGATGGGGAGGTAAGACATCAACCGGTGTGAAGAAATCTGATAATGCCTCGCACATCTTCCCAACTCCTAAGTATCAGAAAAATCCTATGATTTCTCCCCACCCAAAATTCCCAAGTTATAGCAACAATAGCTGGCTCCCACAAGATTCTGGCTCTTCATTTGAAGGGATATTCACATAAGAGCTGCTCCATATACAGTCAAGCATGTTCTGACGTTTAGATTTTGAGGACACAAATGTTCAACCTATAGAATAGATCCTGTTCAAGTAAGGTGTTATAAGGATGGGTTCTTGGAATGAATATCTTTTGTATAAATTCCACCTAGAACAAGTGGACTTCAGAAAGATCCAACTTTCCTATGGGCTTTCTGTTTCCAGGTCCTTGAGAGCTGAGAGTTGAGGTTTCTTTTATCTTTGGCAAGCTGTTCTTACGTTGGTTGTGTGGTTGAACATTATTATCTCGGTCAAATCTAGTATATATTTTTTAAAAATTATTTTTATGAAATCTAGACATTCAAACCACCTTTAAGCATGATTTAGGCTCTAGTGACCAATGGGAGGGTTCCATATTTCCATACAATTGTGTCTGTTTTTGTTGCTATAAGTTAGTAGCAGAAGGTGAGAGTTTTACTAGGCGTTTAAAATCTGTCGGAACCCAGAGAACATTACAGTTACAGGTGCTGGAACAAGTATCATACATTTGGGATGATTCTTGTTATTTTCTTGCCACCATAGTGTTGTCTTCATCGATAATATAATTCCTTCTGGAGCTTTAGAAATTATGAACTAAACCCTTACCTGCTGCTTGGTTCAGTTCATGATTTAAATGGAATGAGATGTATTAAGATTGAAATTCCCGAAGTATTGATGGAAAAAAACCAAATCCCTGAGTGTTGGATGGATTTTTTTTTTTTTTTTTTTTTTTTTTTTTTTTTTAAAGTTTTGGGTGAGAATGTATTTGTTTTATGACTTGTTTATGGGAATCCTTCATCATTCTGATTTTTTTGGGTTAAATTAATAGAAAACTGTTTTTTATAGGAAACAAATCATCCTATATTCATAAGAAGCGAGAGAAGAGCACAATCTAAAGAACACAATCGAAGGGTTAACTGCAAAAGTCCTCTAATCTAAATTTTGAACTAATTGAGCTGGATACAAACATTACCTCAATGACATCTCATATTTTGAACTTGAAAATTGATTGAGCTACATCATGCTAAATTTAGGGCTTGCTGCAAGTTTTCATTATATCATACGTTGTAGTGTTCCGGCAACTGTGCTTTACGGTTATAAATTGGTATTGGGTTGACCTGGTGATACTTGTAATGATGACTTACTGCAGTGGCACTGAAAAAGATCTAACGTTCTCGTCCTTTTTTGTTTCCTTTTGTACCCTTTTGATGGAGAAGATTCCGGGTAGTATTATATTTTCTGTTTCCTATCTATATAAAACAAAGTAGTAGACTGTTACTTCCATTTCTCTCAAGGCTCAAAAATCTCGAAGTCCTTTTTGAGGGTGATGATCTTGGGGTTCGGTGTGGGAACGAGTGCTGAGGAGTATAACTTTACATGTTTTCCCTTTTTGTCTACTGTGTAATTCCTATCAGCAGGTTGTTGTCTTGACCAGTCCTCCAATATTTTTCTGACTGGAACTTTGATTGATGCCTAGTACAGGACTGGAAGTTAGAGAAGAAGTCGTCCGATATATTCAAGCCAGATAGCAACGATGGCAATGGTGGCAATGGTTCGTCCGACATGAATATCGATGAAGAGGCACCTTTGCTTGCATCATCAAGGTTGTCGCATATTGGTCGCACGCAGGTTGGTAACCACAATCAGTAGTGATATATAAATATGGATATGAATATGAATATGAATCCCTAGGAAGAAGGAAAAAAGAAAGATAAGAAATAGGAAATATTGAATGCAAGTTGTTTTGATATGATGAGATGAGATGAGGCGAGGCGTTTTGTGAGGTTTAGAAAGCAACAATTATGGATCAAATTGATTTTGTGGCATAGAGAGATATTGGGGATTGGGAGTGGTGGGAGCCTTGTTGTTGCTATTGGCTTATTATAACAATGGGCTCTTGATTTAGAACAATTCTTTTAGCCTAAGTCATGTAATTGTATTCTTTGGATGACATGACACAGACCTTTCTTTTGGAGCAGTAAGTACACAACTTTGCAGTCTTTTGATCCTTTTTCTTGTAGCTTTTTAAATCTTTTAGATTGAAAATTGGCTAACAGGAAAAGGAAAGCATGATCATATGAAGAAAAAATGGTGCATATGAATTTGAGGTAGATAACAAAATCGAGAAACGTAATATCCTCTCGATTAAAACAAACACTTTAATTTTGTTTCGAGATATGAACTCGAGGTTGGATTCATAGCTCGAAAAGAAACAGCATATACCCACATGAATTTAAGAAACTTCAAACAATTTGATTATTTGGGTATTGAAGTTTCTTAAATTCATGTGTGAAAGTGTGCTTTAAAACGAAATATTGAAGCAAAAGATAGATACCCGTTCATACACTGATGGTAAGAACTTTTTAATGTTTTTTTTCGAAGAGGTTAAGGGCTTAATAGTATTTTTGAAATAGAGTTTTAGCTATTTATATTTAAAATATTAAATAGTTTTAAAGTGTAATAATAGATTTTTTAAAAAATTTAAAGACAAAATAAAAAAGTGTGAATATTTTTATTTATTGAACTAATTTTTAATTATAAAATTATTGATGGGTGTTCTATGAAATTATATTCACAAATTATATTTGTAATATTTAATTTCAATTATGTTAGAGATGGGGGAAACAGAACCTATTATTTAAACGGTTTTATTTTATTTTATAATAATTACCTTTTGGGTTACGAAAATGGGAAATTAATAAATAAACAAAATAATAATAAAGAAAAAAAAAAGAACGTGAAATTATCGAATAATTCCGCAGCCCATCCCTCCACCCCAAAATTTGTCTATTGCGTGTCGTAACCTTATCCACCGCTCCCACGTGGCCCCTTATCTGCTGACACGTGTACCTTCTTTAATAAAGTTATTTTCAAAACTTCTTTTCCTAAAAAAAAAAAAAAACTGGTCCTCTTTATTTATTATTATTTATTTATTTTTCTTTGGCACTTTTTATTTTCTAAAGAAGATGAGAAAAAGGTTATCAATATTTTAATTATTAATTGGTTTAATTGTCCACTTGAATTAATTTAAATTTAATTTATTTTTCATTTTTCTCAAGGTTGAGTTAATTAAAAAGGAAAAAAATTAATTAATTTTTTAAATAATACAAAAAAACAATATAAATTTGACGTATTCAACATTTTTCCACCCATAAATAGTTATATTTTTTAAAGGTAAATGATGAAATTCAAGGTAGAATGTGAGGATTTAAGAAAATTAATTTTTATTTTAAAAGTTAATTAAATGATTAAAATATTAATTTATTTAAAATTATTTAGTTTCAGACAGAAAAAAAAAAAAAAAAAAAAAAGTAATTCTATTTTTTTTGTAGAAGAGGAGGAAGGAGTCCGAAAAATCCAACCAACAGAGCCCCAAATGTGTTCATTCGGACGCCCATGACTGCGATCTGTTTCGAATTCCAACCCTAACAATAAATTCTCTCGGGAGAGGAAGAACCGCAACTGCCTCGTTAATGCCTCGACACAAGGAAATTGTAGCAAAACAAGCAAAAAAACAGGGGTCGTTTGCTTGAAGAAATCGCTCAAATTCGTCTTCTTCTTCTTCTTCTTGTTCTCTGGTTTTTGCTGCGACTTCTTTGGCTTGCATGCCGGTTCTTTCTTCTGTTTGAGCCATGGCGGCTAAGAAACTCTGTGAGACCTTCTCCAAGAGCCTGATCGACGAGGTTCAGAAATGGGGTTGCATGAAACAGACTGGGGTTAGCTTGAGATACATGATGGAGTTTGGTTTGAAGCCTACTCCCAAGAATTTGCTTATTTCTGCTCAGTTTCTTCACAAGGAGCTTCCAATTCGGATTGCTAGAAGAGCTATTGAACTCGAGAATCTTCCTTATGGCCTCTCTGTTAAACCTGCTGTTTTGAAGGTCTTTCTCCTCACCTTTCTGAATTCTGAAATTTATGAACATTATCTGACTGCGAGCAATTAGGAATCTGCTAATTGATTCGTGTAATGTTTTTGTTTCTGGCTGAGTAGGTTTTCTTCATTTTTCATCACTGGCTTCTGATTTTGGCGTCTGATCGTCACTTCTTGTGCATTTTTTGAAAATTCTTTAGACCTTTTTTGTGTTGTCAATTAACTTATTTGTTTGAAGTTTCCAATTTAGGATGTGCATCTTTATCACTGTTCATGTTTGTTTGTTTGAATTCTATACAATTATTATATTCTCTATTCGTTGTTGTGGAAGATTCCCTTGGCACTTTTGCTGGTTAACTGTTTTCTGCTACAGATTGCTCTTAAGAGTTCAATTCTTTGTTGTATTTTATATCTACTATATTTGGGACATATTTTTTTCCTACAAAAGTGCATGCATTATTAAATGTTCAAACGTTTTGGGGTTTGTTCTAGGAAAACATTTCTTGGTAATTGTTTTGTAAAGTTCTAAAATTTGTGTATGTTTCAGAAAAATGAACTTACTGTTCATCTCAGAATCACATTCGTGTGAATAGTGATTTCGATGTATATGAACTTTTCTCTGTTCTTCACAATCACAATATTTGAAAACAGAGAACTGTTTTTGAACCAGTTGTGCAATCAGTAGCCCATTAGTTTCTTATTTGAGTATCACGGTGTATGAAAAGGCAGAATTCTGTATATTATACTTAGGTTCGTGACTGGTATTTGGATTCTTTCCGTGACCTTCGGGCCTTCCCCGAGATAAAGAACCCAGATGATGAAAAGGAGTTTACACAAATGATAAAGGCAATTAAGGTGAGACACAACAACGTGGTTCCGATGATGGCTTTAGGCGTTCAACAGCTGAAGAAGAGCATTGCTCTAGATAATATTGGTTATCAAGATCTTCATGAGATTCATCAGTTTTTGGATCGCTTCTACATGTCGAGAATTGGGATTCGTATGCTCATTGGTTGGTTGAATTTCAATTCCCATCTAAGTTTTCTTTGGAGGGGAATAGCAAAATCTAAATCATGCCAGTATTTTGTGATTTCTGGAGGCTTAACACGTCGTTTGTGAAATTTGATTGTTACTCAGGGCAGCATGTCGAATTACACAACCCCAATCCCCCTCCTGACTGTGTAGGATATATACACACAAAAATGTCCCCTGTGAAGGTCGCGGAGAGCGCCAGTGAGGATGCTCGTGCTATCTGTTTGCGTGAGTATGGCAGTGCCCCTAATATCAAAATCTATGGAGATCCAAGTTTTACATTTCCGTAAGTTCTTCATTTTGACTTTGCTCGTGTTGTTTCCTGCTTCTAGATCTTATTGTTCCATGTTTTGCCAATGTAGCTCTATCTGGGATTGGATTTTGAGACCATTGATCTCTGTTATGTTCTTTGTTTCTATGTTCTTTTGTTTGTTAACCTTTTCAGTTATGTTCCAACGCATTTGCAACTTATGGTCTTTGAGTTGGTTAAGAACTCGTTACGTGCCGTGCAAGAGCGTTTTATGGATTCTGATAAAGTTGCTCCTCCAGTTAAAATTATAGTTGCTGATGGAATTGAGGATGTCACTATTAAGGTATAGGTCTTGTGCATCACCAAAGTTAAGAAACTTCATTCTCTACGCAGTCTCATAATAACTGTGTATATGACTGACTTATAGGTATCCGACGAGGGCGGTGGCATACCTCGAAGCGGGCTTCCCAGAATTTTCACCTACCTCTACACCACAGCAAAAAACCCTCTGGACGAACATCCCGATCTGGGAACAGCAGACTTGGTGACAATGGCTGGATATGGTTATGGCCTTCCTATAAGTCGTCTGTATGCCCGTTATTTTGGCGGGGATCTGCAAGTGATTTCCATGGAAGGATATGGTAAGTAGATTCTTGCTTTTTTAGTTTTCACAGTTGACTAGTTTTAAGCACAATTCTGTAAATGCTGTTTCTTTCTTGTACATGGCTCACAAAACCCAACCCCTTCACTTTGCTTCGAACCGAACCGTTTCTGGTACGACTAGAGAAACAAAGAAAAGCTTCATGTTCCTTCATCGATCAGCCTTTCCTCCATGTTTAAATCTCTAGAATCTGAAATCATGTCCGATTCTCTCATTATACTTAGTTGTAGAGTCAAGGACGAGGCGTTTTATATACCCTCTAGACTCCATCTGTAACCGTCCAAGCCCACCCACTAATAAATATTGTTCTCTTTGAGTTTTTCCTTTCAGGCTTCCCCTCAAGGTTTTTAAAATGCGTTTATTAGGGAGAGGTTTCCATACCCTTATAAAGGATGTTTCATTCTCCTTCTCCTTCCCAACCGTAACCGATGTGGGATCTCACACCATCCATTACAGTTGATGAAAAGCATATCTTGAAAAGTGGATTTCTAACCGTCATGTCGCATCTGCATGTGAACTCAACGTCAATATGCTGGCTCGTTCTCGGGCTGATAACTGCTACATTGCTATTGAACTGTTTACAGGAACAGATGCATATCTACACCTATCTCGTCTGGGGGATTCACAAGAGCCACTGCCATGAGCAAAAGGAAGAAGAAGAATCCCATGGAAGAAGATTTGGTATTGAAATTGATCCAATTGTAATAACTTGGAATTTAGTAAAAGCGCATTCCTTTACCTTTCCCTTTAATCTTTGCCTTTGTCTTTGCCTTTGTATATTCTGCCTTTTGCTTTATGCAAAAATGCATTTTCTCATTACCATACCATTTATTATTCCTTTGGGTTAACCTTTTAGCCTTTTCTTTAACATATTCTTTTTTTTTTCTTTAATTAGTCCAATTTTTTTACTATTTTTTTTTTTTTAAAAAAAAAACCCTTTAGTTAATAAATTATCATTAAACTAAACAATATTTTTTAAATGTTTATAGAAAAAAATTATTTTTTTTGTTAAAATTCCAAAATAGTATAAAATCTAGGTATATAATTGATTTTATAATAGTTAGTATTATTATTATTATTATTATTTTAATCAACTTGTGATTGATAAAATTGGTATAATCCATGTTTTATGAGTTATGTTGAAAACGACTTCTTTTCTCTAATTAAAAATTTTGGGGTTGTTTTTTTTTATTTGGTTTAATTTTTTTTTTTGTTTTTTTTTTAAAGACCAAACATGTCAGTACTATTGTTTTTTTTTTTTTTTTTTTTTTT